GGGTCGGTTGACTTGAGAGACAGGCATCGGCTGGCCCCCGCAAGTCATTGTATAGGCCACATCGCATTCAAATGCCACTGCGAATGTACAAATGGAAGTAGAATGCGTGCCGCATCCCAAAAAGGGATTGATCAACGGCAAATGCTTTATCCTTTATCCTTTATCCTTTACCGCATAAACCGCTTGTATATTCCTAACCTGCGGCACAAAACGGATCCCAATAGAAGCTGCACTGAAACTGCACAATAAGATAGAACTCCTAGCCTCAAATGCCTCTCACTCATAATGGAAGAACATACAGTGCGTTTCAAAAGTATAAAGCCACCCTTGAATGAAGCTGTTCCAAGTTAGAATGAAGGTTCCGTGATTTGATGAATAGTTTATCGAATTCAGCACGCTCTGAAACTATAGTAAACTTTGTTGTACAAACCACTATAAGCTAGAAACGGTTCCATAAGAAAATTTGAAAAACTCCCCTGTTTCAAAAGTATAAAGCCACCCCGGGCGAGTAGGCAACAGCGGTAAAAATTTTTGTTCCTGTTAACTCATTTGGAGTTCTTTGGCCATAATTAGCACAAACACATTACGTCTTCAATATATCTCGTGGATCTACGTTTTCTTTGGAAGAGCAAGTTCGTGCGAGGACGTTACATCGAGCTGCCCATTCAAATCGCTCCATTGCTGCTCAACTTGGACGTTCTCAAAGCTGTATCGACATTTCTTTTGAGGAATCCAGCTTATCATGAAAGGAAAGATCCCTGAAAGGTCACGTGTTCTGCTTGAGTATTATATCCGCCATATTAAACGATCCCTTTCCAATTCTACTGCGACCATCAGTCAGATCCGATACGAGCTCTCCCTTTTTGCTTCGAAAAGTTCCATCTGGAGGGTCGCTAACTCTGCTCCAAATATCGTGCGACAATCCATGATGAAGACTCCACCACGTCCGGGAACAGCATCACAAAGCACCTCGTCTCGAACTCGCCCGGAGGAACATGCGAACGAGTTGGGGTTCGGTAGGTGATTCTACGGGGGTAGGGAGGCACTTTCATCATGACGTTTAGTTAATGGCTTGTAGTGTTCAGTTCATTTTCTGTGGTTGAAAGAACTTCAACTTAGACGGGCCGGATGGTCATCACAGATTCTGGAGAGATTTTAGCAAAGATCCGCTGGTATTTAGCAGGAGAGACTTCGGTGGTGGCGCATAGATGGTCTGAGCTGCATTCTACAGCGATGCTGTGCTCCCTCTGTCTTTCGTCTCGTGTCAAATGGACCCCAGTGAGAATCAGGATGCTTTTCTTAATGATCTTCTCTCGTTTCTGTGTGGAAGTCGTCGGCAAAACTTCATCTTTATGCACGATTACGCCACCATCCATCGCAGCCGGTCCACTCAACACCGGGTTTACGTCAACAAAATCAGTGTACTGGAATGGCCTGCTAGCAGCCTAGATCCAAATCCAATAAAAAACACCTGGGGTATCATTGTCCGACAGATATACGCGTATGGAAAGCAGTACAGTAACGTGGGAGACCTCAGACAGCCATCGAGACGTTTTCCTACCACCTGAATCCCGCTATACTTCTGAAGCTCACGGATAGTATGCCAAATGGTCTATTAAATCTCACTTCTAAAAAAGGAAGTCACGCTAGTTACTAATATTTACGATGTTCACTTTTTCTCTGGAAAAATAGAGTTATGTTGCAAGTGGCTTTATACTTTTGAAACAGGGGATATTTGGAAATCTTCTTATAAAAATGTATGTGAATCATTTTGTTTCCTGAAATAAAGAGAACAATGGTTTCCAAACACGCTGAATTCAATAAAGTTTATGGCAAGCCATGAAATACTCACCTTAACTCGGAAAGTTAGTTTTCATGGGTGGCTTTATACTTTTGAAACGCACTGTAAGTACGAATGAATGACCAGATAAGAATTATAAACCATCTGAGAAGTACAGACTTCCGACGTTTGCCTCGACTATATGATTACAGTCCCAGTGGTCATAATTTTGTCAACATAGCCTCAAGAGAAGCTCTAAATTTTAGCAGTCAATGTTTGCAACGGATCCGGATTAGGTGGGCCGAAGACCACTCCCTCCTGAGCGAGGAAACTGAATGAGTAAAGTGGGGTCCCCAAACACAGAAGGCAGGCGAAATCTGCATGACTTAAGAAGGGCGAAACGGCGATAAGGCTCTGCTAGAGTGGCTGGTGCTGCCATCCTTATCAATCGCGGCATTTGTGATGTTCGCGCCCTCTCGCGTACGACGTACTCTCTCTCTCGCATTTTCCCTCTGCTCGCAGCGCTGTCTCTCCACCCATACCATGGCCGACCTCAGAAGGGAAATTTCATTGTTTTCTATAACGCCTTGATCCTGCTGGCATCCTTCATTGCAGATCCTGTCTAATTATCGCGAAAAAAATTATACCAGTTCGATCCCGACCCTGTCATTAATCTTGTGCAAAGCCATCTTTGAAGGTAAAAGATGTCGAGCCAGTATTCGAGAAGCTGGAAGCTATGGTCACGGAACTCCAGCAGATGGTGAAACAGGTGAAGCACGACGTTTTAAGCAGACAAGTGCCGAACTTCAAGCAGTCAGAGAGCACTACAGAGTTCAAATCCACTGCAGGTAATTTTAACTCGACAACCTTTCAACACTCGCAACGAAGGATGTCTTTTTCGAAGTCTCAGCCTTCTCCAGAGTTACAAATTTATTGGTTATCCCCTGTGTTTAGAGCCATTCAACCAAGAGATGGAAACCAAAGTGATCGAAGACATCATTGAACACATGAAAGGATCATTCCTGCGAGCTGCACGTGGTACGAGAGCCATCAGTGAGGTGGTTCAAAGTCATATTCACGCGAGATCATTGTGTTACACCAGGTGATTAATGTTACGATAATATCAAATCGGTAAGCTCCTCATGTGAACCCTCGGCCTATGAAATTCGCCGCTGTCTAATCCCTGGTGAAATCTTAAGTTTCAATCAGGATAGACATTAGCTATTATTCAATAGTAATTTAAGCTTAATTTATGTTGTGCTTAGAACGGTCCGTCACGCCATAAAAGGAATCAAAAACTACATGAGACAAATTTCCCGCCATGAGAAAATAGCAAAAAAGCCAGCGTAATAAGATATCGGCCTGAGCTTAAGGTTCAGCCCAAACGTTGTAATCACTCAGTAAGACTCTAAAGGAGATGGATGAGCTTGCCAGACCGAGCTGTTTGCAATGCTTCCATAAAATAGTGGAATGTAGTGGAGATGATAGAGTTCAATTTTGTCAGAACGGTAATAATGAAAGTCATTAACAAAGAAATCATTGATCGGTTTTTTTTTTCATGACAAAGGCAACGGTGTTCAGAAAATGTGCGTCAAAGCTAGTACGTATAGAGGTTTCTTTATAATTTGACACTTGCTCAATACCAGATTGCAACATACAATATCTAGTTCTGAGGGTTTCCTTCATATTTAGTCTTCTTTTGAAGAACAAAACCTCATAGTCAGTAGTTGCCACCGACCCTCATTCATTTTGCCATTGTGTAAGCTTCGAGAGCTTCTAATCGCATCTATTATTCTGATTGGAAGATGAATGCGTGACACACACATCAAAGCTCACTCACTAGAGAGATGATTGATCTTTTATAAGAATTCCCCATGAATTTCTCATCCATACTGTTCTATGTTTACTCAATCAAGACAGAGAATGTGGCTTAACCTTGATGACTTTAAGATAATGCGCTACACTTTCTTAAAGGAATCTTCCACGGAAAAAGCTCCGCCCTCATTACCACAGAAAACGATACCTTAAAGGAATCTTCCACGGAAAGAGTGATCATTTTGTCTTGTGTGTAGGATTAGTATTATCGAAACTAACGCTTATGTTCCGTTCTTTTTGCTATGCTCATGAGGCTAGGGGCCTAAGGTATCGTTTTTCTGTGGTAATGGAGGCGGAGCTTTTTCCGTGGAAGATTCCTTTAAATTTCACCTCTAAGATGAAATATCGCCTGCCATGATTCTGATAGAGGAGAATCAGGTTACCTGTGTAGTTGTAGCTGTATGCCCTTGATGTCTTCTATTCGCGATATTCGCGACCCCTAGAGAATGCTGAGGGGCTGTACACATCCATTAGTCTACGACGTCTTTGACCTCGCATCTACTTTGGCGTGGCCCATTTTTGCTCACGGTTTAAATTTTCCCTGAAATTATCTTTATCATAAAATTTGTAGCTATTTACTGACATTCTGTACTTCCGGAAGCCCTTACAATATATGAATGGATTGCTTAGAATTTGCAGAATGGTTCCAAATTTGACAGATCTCATATGTTTATTTTATGAGAACCTGTCTAGCCTTTGAGAGACTGTTTTCTTTTGAAACCTTTAGTTAAACCGCTACTTTCAACAGTAACAACGACAACCTCAAAGAGTGTAGAATGCATGGGTCTTAAAAAAGAACCACCCTTTATAACTTTGAGCTGCTTCCCTTCTCCAAATTTGCAGCCCTTCTTTCGGATCAGAAATACAGTACAAACCGTTTATTTACAGGTGGACTCCTCTGTTTCTGCTGCAGCCGTCGACGTTCAACTGCCACTCGGCCGTCTTCCTATAACTATTCGCCACAAAAGGGCACACAATGATGGTTGGTTAATCAAAAAGGAACACTGACAATTAATCATTTTCCAGCCATGAAAAAGCGCTTCAGAGAAGAATTTCGAGCCAAGGTGAAGAAGCGGAAACCAAACTAATGGGAAGACAGGCGCACTCTAATGGGTCAGACCACATGCAACTCGTGGAGAATAAAATGCTTCCGATATCGGCGCAGTACGCCCACCGACTGGCTAACCACTATTCGCAGATCTCTCATTTACTTGAGAGAGCGTTAGCACTAAAGAGGGCAGCACCGATGAGAGTCGGATCAGTGCGGAAATCAACGAGCAAGGAAGGGGTCTCACTTCTTATCACCCCGATACCACTGCTGCCCACCTTTGTCTTATACATGGCCTGCCTTAGTAATTGCGTGAATGACGCCTATCAAAGGCGAGAACCTCGGGATAGGCTTTCTAGTAGAAAGTTTCTAGTAGGAAGCGTGTCGGGAGTGGAATTGTTAGGTCGGGAGGTCGCGCTACCTCCGCCGGTTGAAATGGGCCATGAGAACGCTATTGCTTAGCTACTTGCAACCATCGACTCCCCGTGTAAGCCTTTCTCACCCAACGCGGTTGTTGTAAGAAGCGCGGATAACGGCCGCGGCGCGCAGCGTGGATTACGACGTAGAGTCTGTTAAAGGAATCTTCCACGGACCATGGACCAGTGGGCGGGACCGGAAGTTTTTGTGACGAAATGCATGGTAGGTACGGATCCACGTGTCGAACGCACGAACGTGAACAGGATTCACTTCAAACCTTCCCATGAACGTGGATCCGTACCTACCATGCATTTCGTCGCAAAACCACTTCCGGTCCCGCCCACTGGTCCATGGTCCGTGGAAGATTCCTTTAACATTTCAAGATAGGATATGAAATCGAATGATAGCAACTGACGGGCTATGCTCAAAACTCGTCCAAACATGCCCATTCCCCAGTTCAAGGAGAACTGTCATTAGAGGGAAGAAAGTGGAGGAATCCGGAGCAGGTAATTGGCAGTTCGCTTTGCTCTCGCTTTTTAGATCATCTCATCCCCAAACTTCAATTCTTATGACCAATTCAATCTTTATCGCCAGCTCCGTTCACAAGCATAATTTCGCCAGATGAAGCGATCAGCACATCAGCTTCAACGCCGGAAACTATAACGTACTTCTATAACCGTGGTTATCTGGGGGCACCATGGCCGAATCAGTCATAGAAATCTATTTATGCATACCATTGCAATTTCAAAGTTCGGCTACTCTACTTTTCAAAGACAACCGTCAAACGAAAAGTTCTTCTAATGTGCGCATTTTTGTGAAGTGCTTATTCCACTATTACTTATTTATTACTTGAGAAATCATGAATGACATTTCAAGGAATCATCCCCTCACAAATGTGTTACAAGTGACCAACAGTAAAGTATGTGAGAGAGAAAATAGAAAACTTTCTTGGCCCGAACGGATCCCAAAGCTAAGGAGATTGTGTGTGCGCGGGATAATGGTGCTTCATGTCTCAGACTAACCAATTACATATTGGTTTTTTTGAGGTTTATCGAATCAGAGTTTGGTCACACAGACAGGTGTTTTATTTCAATTAAAACTTTTCTATTTGCCCAGTGGACGAGAACGCCGGTTGACGAATCGCAAAAATGCAAAAGATCAAAATGTAACGATCCGAAGCTCAAGAAGCTCATCCTTGACGTAAGTTTCGTACTGTTTATAAGAGTTGTGAAAGCAGCAAGTATTTCCAGAATATCAAAAATGACGCCCCAACGTCAAAACGAGCAATTCAAAAAGCCGCCGAGACGCAATTTGGAGGAATTTTCGACGTGATCTGCAGTCCTTGTGAATTCTCGTTCGTCATCAGCTCCCAGAAATACTGTGATGGTATCAAAAATCAGGTATTTTTGAATAGCTAGAGATTTTTGTGGTAACCTTTGACGGATAGCGATGGCAGCTCTCCTGCTACTGCATTGGAGAAGTTGTAACAGAAGAAGAAGTGCCTCGAGATGTGCCACGCATTCGATTTTCCTGTGTAAATATATGAATGTCGGAGAACGTATGTCGGATAACATAGCCCTTCGCGATCACAAAGCATATGGTCCTTAAGTAGAGGTGGGAAGCAACGAGGAAAAGGAAATTGACAAAACACAAAAAAACACGGTCTCCTTGTGGGGGGACGGTTAGAAGGTCCTACAGTCTCGGAAATATTAAGACCCGATAAGAAAGGACGTAGATAAAGACGAGGGAGAATAGGGGAAATGCGAGAAACAGACACCAACGGTTTGAGCCCTGGTCAAGTAATTAGAGACATCAAGATTGAAACACCACTACGGTTGCAAGGTCGGCTACTTCATTGATGACTTACAGTAGCGGTCAAAAGTGTTCGCCGAAACGATTTTTAGTGCATTATTTTTTCTCGCTTGAGCAACGCCCTCCAAAGATTGATATACTATGTTTAGTGTTTTTATATCCTCAAGTCTTAAAGAATCAGGATATTCAAAAGAAAAATTTTCGAGGCCACCATTGATTTTTTCTGGCAAAAAAGAGAAGCACGAAAAACCGTTTCGGCGAACACTTTTGACCGCTACTGTAGATTGTGACACTAAATGTAAGGACGGAGCACATTCCAATAGGAGCGAGCACCCTTTGAAGGATCCTGGCACGTGAAGGTCAACAAAGCTCTATACATATTCTGGGTTCAGCATGGTAAAAATGGGCGCATTTGCTCACGCCTGAGCGCTATACGAGGCCATTCTCCAAGGCTAAGCCTACGAGGGGGCAGAAACTCCAGGGAAAATAAAAATGGCCCGCGCACCCTGGATTCTCTCTTCCACCACATGAGGCTTACATGTACCGTTTTAACACAATCGACATGCTTTTAGCAGCTTTGATTGCCACTGAACCACAATCATCCCACATGCCGCAGCGCCGCTAAGATGTTATAAAGGCAAGACACTGAAGAAGTGAGTCGACTAGCATAGCCACTTATGTATAGATTGAGACATGTGCTGCGCGATTTCCCAAATAATCGAATCCATGGGCATCCCGAAAGTTCAACCACGAAGCGTGTTTTAAACTCCCACTTATTTAAATCAACAATACTGACATGTTATGGAGCACCTTGTTCAAATCGCTGAAGTAGCTTTCGTACTTTTCTTCAACATCAACGGGTTCCCTGGTCTGATGAGCGGCTTCTTCATATTTTTAATCAAAAGTTCTAATAAATTTTATGCTAACCCGTAAATGAGGCATGTTTACCAAAGACAGGATCACTTGGCAACAAAATGCCAATTATCGACCTCAGCGAGGGAGGATATAACTGCGGCGCATCTGCCATTCGGAAAATCGCTTCTCCAGACATCTGTACCAACACATGTGCTGCCCTCAATAACATCTGCGAAATGTGGGCTTCGAAAACACCCCTTTGCTGGCATGCCTTCACCCTTCCGGGAGTTCTTAATGACATATAATTTTTTTTTCCTTCTTGCCTGAATTCCAACTCGCCTTACCCATAAACATGCATCTTCTCTCTTCCTCTCTGTCTCCAGAAATATCCATTAGCTCGTCGTAGCTGGACCCTGGGATAATGGAGGTGAGGAATTGTTGAACTGCATTAGACAAAAAAGTAATCTCTCTATCTTCTTAATTTTTGAGCAGAAATCTTTGCCAGCAAGTCGATTTATTTCCCATCGTTCAAGAACCGTAAAGCGAATTCCACCAAATATGAACCAGAAGAAATCCCCAACGGACGAGTTTACTTTGCCTCAAGGTTTGCAGATCAACATCCACAGTCTGTCGCAAGCCTCCCTGATAAGCCTGATATCAGTAGCTCGAAGATCAGAACTGAAAGCCCTGTCACCAGGTGGTATTCCTTCCTGAGCCATGCGTTTACGATGTTGACTGCTCGCTACACCGTTTAACGCAAGAATCAGGATTAGATTGTGAGGTATATTCAGTCAAATGTGAAAGTAGGTATGGGAGGTGGACCGCCAGTGGAAGAAAAATGAAGGCAGCAGTTTAGGTCAGAGACAATCTGAGCACCGGATGAGGGGCTATGAGACAGTCCAGTAGCGATGAGCTACAAACCAGCACTGCGCCGCAGGCAAGATATCGAATGGTAGGCGGACCATGTTAGACTTGGAGTCTGTTAGAAGTCCTTGAACGCCTAGCGTCTTACCATTAGTAACGCTTTTCGATGTAGGAAAGTAGCGCGACCTGCACTTTCCCGCACAGTAAGAGCTTTTTAAGCAGATCTTACCCGAACCTTGCCTTTACCTCAACTTTTAACGCCTTTTACTATGATTTCAAAGCCACGCTATCACATAAGTAATGAACAAGCTATGCAGAAAAATATTCCTTTTATTCCAACAATACATGGTTAAAAAAATAATTCTTTCACATCTGATGTAATACATATATAGATCTAAAATAATAACATCGGTAACGAAACCTGAAAGAATCTAATCTGATATCGGGTGTGAAAAGAAAAACTAGCGGTAGCTATCTATATCAAGCGAGACGTACATCCATTGTGACCACAAATCCGACTTTCTCAAAGAGAACGATTAAGTTTACTCCTCTTTGGCTCCCAAACTCTCCAAAAAAAACATAAGAATCCCACAAAAACGAAGTCGGATTCCTGGCCATCATCAGACTGCAGGTGATAAACCATGACCATAAAGGAAACGTGGAATATCGTAATTTGTAAAGAAATAAAAAAATACAGAGTCCACACACGGGGGACGTATGCACACACACACTCACACATATTTTCAGAAGAAAATATGGGAAAAGAAAAGCAAAAATCGAATAAATATGTACGTACAAAAAAGCAGCCATTGACGGCACAACGAAAGATACTGGGATTCTGTAAGGATCATGTACTGGCGTAACGAGAAGCAGCCCAGACACACCAGTATTGATTTACTGTTGGAAAACTTGTTCAAATGAACATGACTTCATTTCAATGGAAATAAGGGGGCGCACTGGTGTATCCAAGCCACATAACTACTTCAAAAATACATATTAATATGCAATCTTATTAAATACCGGTGACACACCATATAAGAAAGAGGAACCATTAGCGTAACGCGCACGAGATTAACCGACGAATATACAGTACCTTCGCTTCCAGGAAAATCGATAAAACCGAACGATATTGATCCGAAACATACTAACATAATAGTAATGATATTTTTTGATATATGAATGGATTGTATAGCAGCATGAAATACATGCGTGTGTGGGTGTGTGGACGGAAAGGTGACAATGGTAGCGAACAATGGAACAAGAATGATGGTGATGATAATGATGACAATGTAGAGAATGGAAGATAATGATGAATGGATGAACGAATGATTACGAGTACACTGTCTACGCACTATGCGTGTAAACGCTTTTAACACCGGCAGTCACGGATATAAAAGGCTGGAAGGTAGCGTAAATAAGAGAAAATCATGCTGAATAAATTAGAAATAAGCATGCGAAAATAACCAGATTTACACCATTGCGCATTGGGGCAGAACAACGACGTGACGTACGTCAACACGATGAATGGTAGATTATCGTAAGACACATGTCGTTCATACCAATGCGGCAAGGAGAAGAACGTCATCGATCAACGATCAATAACGTCCCAATTCGTGCGCAAGCGTTTCACATCAAGTATAAATCATCTTGCAATGTTTTGGATTTATGTATTGAGAATTGTATTGGAAAATTCTGCATCAGAGAAAGCATGCGGCCATCTGCAACTCGTTCCACCCTCATCGGGCAGAGTCCAGCGTGGCAGAGACCGCTCTGCGTCTCTGAGCAGTTATTAAGAAATTTTGATAAAATGCATAGTTTTTCGAACGCTATTCGATGAGGTAGCATTTGCTTGCATGTGTAGAACCTTATTATTGTAAAGACTTGCGCGCATAGAAATTAAGGCACAAGAAATCAGGCACGATTACTACGACAGGGAGATGGGTGCAGTACGTCCAATATCTACAATGTGTACATCGGCTCAACGAACAGAACACAATTGATCTACACATTCGGATGAACGGGCAGAAAACAAAACAGAGAGATAGAGCGAGAACTGGACAGTATATGTAGTAGGTAAATGCAACTAGGGTTAAGTAAATGTTTTCCATTAGAAACTATGCAAACAAGCAAAACAATGTCGCTGTTATTATATTATTACAAATGATATAGTTACTTTGCGTTATTAAACGAAATGAACTGCTCACGCACACATACAGAGAAACTCAGTTCTTCACTGGGTATTGGATGAGGAAATTATTCCTGAATTATTACGAAACATCACCGACGATTTTGAACCGACGGTTCGCATCGTTCGAAAATTAAAAAAGAACTGACAGGACGTTTGCAGTTATACGGCTAACTGCGAATAGCTCAAGACGAGTCTTTTCTAAGCATTTCTGGAACAAAGTTCATTCCCGAGTAGTTTCACTGGGCATTGCTCAACTGCGCGAACACCGGCAGACGACCAGGAGTTTTCTCCCACTTCTCGTCAAACGTCAACGACATTATGTCTCCGATGAGACCATTCATCATTGGATCAGCGCTTGCTCTAAACAAAAGGAAGAATTATTCTGTAATTATGCAATAACAGAGAAAAAATATACTC